TTTTAGAAAATTAGAAAAAGCTAATGCCAGCTAAAGAGCGATCCAACATACCATGCATTTACTGGCACAATAGAAATTGTGTTCTGTGTCCTATGTCTTTGTGGTGTTTTGACTTGTGGCTAGAATTGTTGTGTTTAGTTTTCTACAGGACAGCCTAGTTTAAAACCAAATGGAAAGGTTAGAGCTAAATGCAGATACTCGTTTATCCAACTTGGAATACAAAGTGGTTTGGATACTATCAGGAAATACTAAGGTTTTAATATATGTGACAGAGGCTGCACCAAAAACTGATAAATGTTCTTGGAGCAGTGCTGGGTGTACTTTACACCCTGATCACCTTTGGCGCTCCCCGGACGGCCACCTGGTTGCGCCTCAGATGCTCTTGCCCTATTTGCTTGCGTGCACCACTGGATGGCACGCGTGAGCAAAGGGGGGGATGATTGCTGCAGTTAACGAGATTGGTATGCACCTAATTTTAATTTGCCTGGTAGTTGGTCTTTTCCATTTCTGTAGTCTTAGATCTGCTGTTTTCCTTCCTGCTGGCCTTGCTATTTTGCAGGCCTGTGCAGCTGGATTTTTTTGGGGCACATTTCAGCCCCGTCTTTCTCGGCTGTCGGCCAGGTCTCGGCTATGAGCAGTGTCCTTGGGCGGGGGCCCGCGTCTTATCTTCGGACTGAGTTTGCTAATAGTGTTTAATTCATTCGTTCCCTGCTCCTTTCTTCTTCTTCTCTTCCCCGCCTCGGCCTCTTGTACTTGCAAAGGAAACTTCCACTTTCCACTCACACACCTTTGACCCTCCCCAAAATGCTTTGCGACGCTTGCAATAGTGTTGGCCGCATACAGTGCTGATCTACCTTTCCTGGAGACTTACTGAGGGAGGAGGGTCAACAATATAATATTGCCAGCAATATAATATTGGAAAAGCAATTAAAGCTAGAAAAGCAGTTAAAGCTAGAAAAGCTGCACACCTCTTGGGGACCTTTTGTAAATATTCAGATTAATGTTATTCGAATGTCTAAATGTTGCAATTATGAGTATGTGTTAGTATTAGTTGATGTTTTTCAAGTTGGGTTGAAGCCTTCCCTTGTAGGAGGGCAGATACCAAGTCTGTTGTGAAAATTTTGCTTAAGGATTTAATTCCAAGGTTTGGCATACCTGTGAGTATCAACAGTGATCGTGGTACTCATTTTACTGGACAGCTTGTAACGCAGTTATGTGCAGCCTTGCAGATCCAACACAACCTCCACTGTCCCCACCACCCGCAGTCTGCCGAGACAGTGAAACGTCAGAATGGGATTCTGAAAAACAAACTGGCCAAGAATTGTGCAGAAATAAACTTAAAATGGCCAAATGCCCTGCCATTAGCATTGATGAGCATGAGGGCCACTCCCAACCGGAAGACTGGACTTAGTCCACATGAGATCCTGACAGGGTGCCCGATGTGACTACTGTCTGTGCCCCCACTGGCCCTTGCCCAGATGGGCATTCATTTGATGGATGATACAATGCTTAATTACTGCCAGACACTAATGAAATGTGTCAGGTCTTTTTATATAAAGGTGAAAGAAGCACTACCCAACGATCCTGAGCAACCCTGCCATTTGCTGGAACCAGGAGACTGGGTCTACATAAAGGTCCATCAACGAAAGACCGCTCTGACCCCTCGTTGGAAAGGCCCTTACCAAGTCCTGTTAACTACCAACATCACTGTGAAGTGCCAAGGACTGACTGCCTGGACCCATGCTTCTCACTGCAAAAAGGCCCCTCCACCTCGAGATGACCCTCCAACGGCTGATCAGCCTGTCCTTCTGGTACTTTTTTTTTCTCTTTCTGGACAGCAGCAGAAAAGGACAAGGTGAAGTGCTGGTAACCTCTCCCTTGTCCACTAACAGAACCACCATACATTCACCATCTGCTGGAGGAACCCAGTTATTACAGGGTGACGTGCTGGTAACCTCTCCCCTGTAAGATGCTGAACTACAACTGTACAAGGAAAGAAGAAGAAGAAATGTTCGTTTTGCTGAAACCACCAGAGTCCAGGGATTCTTGACTACAAAAGACATTAAGAATTGGCCCTGGTGGAAGAGATGGAGTATCGTAACCTGGCAGGGAGGAACTTGTGGGAACCACGCTTGGGACTGTGGTATTGAGTGGTGGTTTGGGTTTATTCCGGGGACTGGGCTCTGTGCTTTCGGACAAGTACCTTCAGCATGTATAGCCTTCCCTAATTGGCTGTCAGATTATAAATACCAAAGGCGCCTTGCTGCCACAATCACTGCCCCTGCCATTATCCTCACTACCACTACCACCCCGTAATACATCCTAATACAGACAATACCAATGAAACCCAATGGCCAAGGCCTTTACACCTTAGTGATCCCAATGGGATGTGCCAATAGTGCAGCAGCAATTTGGAACATTTACAAAGGTCAACAACATGATGAGAAATTAGAGCAACTGGAAAAGGCCACAGGTCTTATTATTAGAGCACAGTTAACCCAGGTACAGGCTAGGGTAGGTGAATTACATGTTATTTCTGCCCTTAGTTTAATGACCCAGAAGCTGTTGACAGAGATGGTATTGAATATCACCGAGGCAGGAAAGGGATTGCAGTGGGATCTGGCATGTTCAGAAATTCAGGATTTTCTGAATAACCAGCTCATGGCCATTCGGAGTGATCTTGAGCATCAGGCTTGGCCCACTGCCCTTACTAGTGCTGCCCTTACTAGTGCTTCAGGAACGCCATCTGATCTGTGGAGATTTTCAGGGTGGAAGTGCAGACGCTCACAGTGCTCTTTCCAAGCATATGGGCCGGTTGGAGGAGTGTGGGCTCCCACATACCGAATCCTGCTGGGTCCGTAAGGAGGATGCAAGTGGGATTGGATAATTCACCAAGATATTTGGGAAATTAAACCACCTGGTATGCCTAGCCAATTTATAGTCAGTGCTCCTGGAATAACGCCCGATGTTTGGATAGGGATAGGAAGCCAATGGACATTTTGGCCTTTAAAGCCCCTGCAGCTTCAGTGGGTACAAAAGCTGAAGCTAGGAGAAGTTGTCACTGTTTATGACGTCTGTTGGGAAGGTATGGGACAAGGAACTACCCTGACAGGACACCTACTTTTCCAAGCTAATGACAGCTGTGTGTATGTTAAGGCCACCACTTTACAAGACATACATTTTAATCTCACCACTGCTACAGGCAATAATATTATTTATTGGCCAGCGGATAGAATTTTACAATCAGCCCTTAGATTTCAGATATCCTTTAATTGGACTGCCTTAGTACCTGACTGGTTCCAAAATTTGCTTTCACTCCTACCAGAGGTCCAGATAATCTCTGAATTACAAGGGCAAATTCATATGCTCCAAAATATATATCAAATTGAAAAGTATGCCTTTCATACAGCCTATAGAGTGTCTACTTTATGTATTAAGTATGACGTATTGTGTTTTATGACTAAGGCTGTACAGCAACCCCATCATATTATTACAGCGTTTAAAAGAGAACTGGATAAATTCATGGAGGTTAAGTCCATTAATGGCTATTAGCCACGATGGGTAAGGAATGGTGTCCCTAGACTCTGTTTGTCAGAGGGTGGAGATGGATGGCAGGAGAGAGATCACTTGATCATTACCTGTTCAGTTCACTCCCTCTGGGGAACCTGGCGTTGGCCACTGTCGGTAGACAGGATACTGGGCTAGATGGACCTTTGGTCTGACCCAGTATGGCCGTTCTTATGTTCTTAATGGAAATGTTAATGTTTTTATTGTTGTTGTTTAGTTTAGGGTTAGGTTATTGTTGTTGTAAAGGATGTACTAATAATAGTACCTTCCATGTTCATACTAACCATGCTTTGTTGTTGTATTCAATTAAACCCCAGAAGGTTGTACCATGTGAGCTAGAGTCAGAAATACAAGATTTAATGAGAATGGAGGTTTGAGAGTGATGGTTGTGCTGGAAGCACAAAAGGGGGGAGTGTGGAAGCAGAGAAAAGGATAAAGGGAATTTGAACGCAGCTATCTTAACTTTTAGGAATAAAATAAGAGTCAGGCTAACACTAGCTCTAATAACGTAAGATTTCAGGCAGGGCCTGGGCAAGTGGAAAGCAAGTGGAACAAAAAACCATAAGAGATACTGTTTTTCGACCTTGTGTTAGATAAGAATGGAATATAGACTGTAGCAGGAACTGCTGAGAAAAGTAAGATATCAGAAGGAATATATATAAACAAGATGTGGTTGTTGATCATTATTGTCTGTAACAAAAGGTATAAATGCTTGCCCTAATTGTTTATCTAACGGAGACCTGCCTGGGATGGGGGGGAACCTCTGTCTGGGTTTACTCTCCCCTTGCAAGTGTCAGGAAAATAAACTGTCTCTGACTTGTTGCAACCAACCTGAGAGTGAAGACTCTGTTTTCTTCCAGATGGATAAATATGCAGTAACCAGCATGTGGGGGCAGTTTTTTCCTTAGGAATGGAAGTGAAGACTACTCTGTCCAACTGGAAAGGCAGGGGGCATGTGAGAAGGCAGAATGCAACTGCACAAGCAGGAAACTGGCCAGGACTTGTGAGAAGTGTCATGGGCTATTTTAATGACTACAAATGGGACAGGTACCTGCTCTAGTATCTCAGCCAGATGATGGCATCTACTGCAGCCCTAGCATCACGCTGAGATGCTGACTCGGAGGGAAGAGTGCCAGCATGCGAACCTCCGGCACCTGGATTTCTGATGAACTAAGTGCCCATAGGAGTCCTGTGTGGTTTCTGTGTCTAGAGAGGTGCTGAGGGAATGGCCACATCAGTGTAGTCAATCTGTATGCAATCTGGCACTAACAGTGATACGGATACTGTGCTGCAATCCTCACTCGCCTTTGTATGACCTTAGCTAGCTGAGCCCAGCGAGGGATCTGCAACCTGAGCTGCGCGTGTTAGCTGGCTCTGGAGCTAGTGAGCTCATTTGTCAGACCCACTAAGCAGACAGACTGAGTCTAAATTACTTTTCTTTGCAATTGCTCATAGAAAACGTTTATTGTTTGTCTCGTTTCTTAGGGCACAGCACAGATACAATCCTGCCTATTCATTCTTTGCATGCTGTCCATGAACATTTCACCGCAAGCAGGGGAACGTTAGGCCGCACCTGCTGTGCTCAGCAGGCGCTCAGATGCTGCAGGGACGAGCACGGTATTGAATAGAATAGAACAGCAGCACAGACGGTGCGATCAGCCAGGCATGGCTGGAGCATGCAGCAGGAATCAAGGAGTTAACAGCCTGCATTTTACAGGCTTGTAATACAGGGAGGCTAGCTGAGCGGCAGCGGTCAATAGGGGCCCCCTCTTACCCGCGG